TGGTGGTTACTCAAACAGGGGCGGAGAAAATGGTGGTTACTCAAACAGGGGCCAAGGAAATGGTGGTTACTCAAATAGGGGCGGAGAAAATGGTGGTTACTCAAACAGGGGCCAAGGAAATGGTGGTTACTCAAACTGGGGCGGGGAAAATGGTGGTTACTCAAACAGGGGCAGAGGAAATGGTGGTTACTCAAACTGGGGCCGAGGTGGATGGGAAGGTCGTGGTAAGTATACTTCCTTGAGTTTGCATTTTGTACTGCTTACACAGATACTTTGTTGTATTCTTTTAAAACTATGATATTCCTTGGAATTTTTCTATTGTATTTCTGTTGAACCTTGTTTTATGCACATAAACTCAGACTCTGGATATGAAGGAGGCAGAGGTTATGGACGCGGACGTGGACGCATGGACCTCCGTCCTCAAGGTGGTGGCAACCAGGCTTAGTAGGGGATTGGCACATTGTGTTTTTGCACAGATGCCTTGGTTTAGTAGTTATTATGTCCAAAGTAGGTCTAAAGAAAGAAAAGCATGAAATTGTGGGTTGTTTCATATGCAGTGATTTTATTGTTTTTCAGCATCGTGGAATGTGGAAAAGCTTATATCCTCTATTTGCTTTAATGAAGCCAAAGTCAAGTAGCCAATTTCTCACAAAGTATTTATCGTTGCTGTATATGTATATCTTAATTTTTTTCCCCCTTTTGTCTTTTTCTGAGATTTTGATTTATTTTTTTTTACCTTTGTTGCCCTACTAGTGTAGGGGTTAGGGCGGGGTGGATTGAGCTTAAACCGCCCGCTCTAGATCAGTCTAGAAGATAGACTGGATAAATGCCAAAACTCCCCTTCCATGTTTTGGTGAAGTTAATTATTTTGCATAACATGACCAGGTTCATAACTCCTTGAAGGGACAATTTGGTAAAGAAGATGAAAAGCTGATGACATTTGGAAGTGAACAAGATATGTATATTTGTAGCTTTTCACAAACTATTTACGAATAAGTAACCGATGAGTATGTATTTTATTTCGGTAGACGTGTTATATTGGTTCCAATTAAAATTATATAATTTATATAACCAGAAAGTAAACACTAGATACCGTAAGATTTTATTAAATGTTTACTTAGGTTATTTTGATAAGAAGACCATCTCGGTTGCGTACTTAGTAAACCTTGAATTTTTCAATAGGACACCCTTACAAGCACTATGGTGTATATATACTAGTTTCTGAGAACGTGCCTTGCACGTTCGTCCCTTATTATTATTATTAAATTTTTATATTCTAAAAAGTTAAGTAATTAAAAAGATGCTTAAATTAACAATAGTAGTTTTACCATTTATCTTTTATTCGCTAAATAATAACAAATATAATATGAAGAACATTAAATAGATGATATATCTTGTTATTTTTTTGTTATCCTTCTCTCATTCTCTTTTCTTTTCATGTTGAATGGTGCAATTTCCTTCCTATGATAATATCAATCTTAGTAAATTGGTTCTTAAAAAGCATATCAAAAATTTAATTCTCAAAGTGTTTTTACATAAATAATGGAGAAGGACTCTTCACATTGAACTTTTAATTTTAAAAAATTATGTGTATGAGAAATAATTAACAATCAATAAGTAAGCAGAACAATATCACATTATCATAAATAAAATAATATCTCTAAGGCAAAAGTAGACATTCTAGTTTGGAAATAATTACTACTTAACTATTTATGAGTCCAGCTCCAATCAATAATCTATACATGGGAGTTTGACAATTTTTCAGTTATAGTTAAAATTTTACATCAACGATAAATAGCTTATTATCACAGTAGATAGACATTTTATGCATAAAATTTATAAATGCTAAAACATTTCGTCAATGTGGTACATATATCCAAATTTATGATATAAACACTAGGTATATTACGAAACA